TTTAATTTTCTATTTCTATTAGAACTAATTAGAAGTAATTATGTAATTTTGTCAGAGAGTGCTGATGTTGGAATCAGGGTTTTGGTTATATATAAATGCTAAGCTAGGTTTGAAGAGTTATGAAGAATTGACTTTCCTCTATTATTTTTCCATGGTTTTGTAATCTATTCCTCTGTTTTCTCCCTTGTTCTTCCTTTTTATTCTTCTTTTATTTTGTCATATCAGCAAATATATCATGACATCTATTGGTTGGTTATTTGATTCGAGATTGTACTTCTGATTGGTTAAACACTTGCTGCTAATGATTCAGATGTGATTCCAGTGGTTGACTGATGCAGATTATCTTCATATGCAGGTTTGACAGAAAACTAAAGAACACATATGATCACTTACTCTTCAGCAGGTTGTACTTTGCTAGACGTACTGTGAATCTTTATTTCCCGTTAACATTTTTTGTCAATAGAACTTAATTTAATTAAAAACCAACAAGATGGTAGACCTTTCTGGAAACATTAATTTTGGGGTTAAGGTCATACTTCAAACTCTGCAATAACTAAGCACACTAATTTCTCATCTGTTAATAATTTAATATAATCAAATTCGAATGTCACCACAAGTTATTTTAATAAAATTCTGGTTAAGCATTTCCATATATCCAGAAACTGAAATAATCCCATCTTTACCATGATTTTGGTGTTAAATTGACGAGACCTTTTTTCTGGCACAGTCATTGGACTGAAAATTCACATTTGCACTATTTAATTTGGATAGAACTTGTTCCCCTACTTATTGCCCCAATTTCTTATTAATCCTCTTCCTTTTTTCTTGCACAAGTCCTCTTCTAAGTGTGTATGTTGACATGCCTGTGGCATGTAAGGTAAACGTTGTCATTGATGGCTATCTATTTCGTTGTTCTACCTCAACTTATGTTTCTTTAAGCCAACAGGTTGCTGATATTTCTCTGCATGATGGATGTTTGCAACTCCTTGCGTATGATTATTGATTAGCCCAAAATGTTTTTTGTGATGTTCAATTATTAATATAGCACTATGCACTTAAACACAAGTTAAATATTTCTACTCCTTCCTAACAAAATTATGCAATTTTGATATGAATTTCTTCCTTTTTACTTGCAAGTAAAAACAAAACAACATAACATTTTTTGTGATTAACAAGGCCTTTTCATCTATTTTTCCTCTTAATTAATGTTCTAATGTTTTACGCAGGAATACTATAACCCAAACCAATCCATGCTGGAGTTGGTTTTTGCCCCTGCAGAAGAATGGATTTCAAGAAGCGGCCCCGAAATTATTGATGCTACGATGAAGGAACTTGCTAAACTTTTTCCGGAAGAAATCTCAGCAGATCAGAGCAAAGCAAAAATCTTTAAGTATGACGTTGTTAAGACACCAAGGTTAGACTCAAAACTAAAACGTTAGTTTTTCAGAATATGTTAAATGCATTTAATTAAATTATAATGCAGCTGGATGGTTAGAGTTTTTTGTCTATATACTCATGGTAGTGCATAAACATTGTAATTGTGGCAATAACTCGTTATTTTCTATTTGTAGATTGTGCATTTGTATAAATATTATTAATGATCCTAATTGGACAGCACCAAGCCTTAACTTTTATTATATTTCTAGTTCACTTACTTGACATAACTCCTAAATTTTGTTAGGTCTGTATACAAAACCACCCCAAATTGTGAACCATGCCGTCCTTTGCAAAGATCTCCTGTAGAGGGGTTCTTTCTAGCAGGTGACTACACAAAGCAAAAGTGTTTGGCCTCAGTGGAAGGTGCTGTTCTTTCATGGAAGCATTGTGCACAGTCCATTGTACTCTTTTGTATTATTCTATCCTATGACATCTTCTGTTATTGCAACAAAAAAGCTTTATCTTAGTTCAAACTTATGAGTTGCCTTAGATGCAGTGCAATGGCTGTTGTGGCATACCACGTAGTCAAGGCGTCATTGACTTATTGGTGATATACTGAGATGTGCAGGATTACAAATTGCTTGTTTCTTCGTGG